GTAGACGCCGTTTGGAAATAAATCATGTCGTCTTTTCAACCAATTTTTCTAAATGGATACAAAGCCCAAAAAAACAACAGTGGAAAGCAGATGAGCAGATATTAAAGTTTAGAGCTTTATACTACATTTCTTACTTATTTTTTATTCCCACAATTGGACCCTGCTTCAAGTGTTTGCCTTTAATATGGGATATTCAGGATCAACTCCTGACTGTTTCATAAAACAAAGTTGAAATGAAAAATAGCAGATTTGATTTTTCACTTTTTACTACAACATTTTGTTATTCCCAGAATTATATCTCACCATTAGTATTAACGAATCATGTATGAAAAATGAATAATAAAAAAAGTTCACCTGTTCTAAAGTTTGTTTTGTCATTTGTAGAGTAATTCATGTTACTTACAATACTGTAGGATTTCAGTATCTCCTACACTGAAAAAAGTGTAACATGTAGCTGTTCATTCAAACTAATGACTGTCACTGTAAACTGGACAAAATTATTTATGTGATTGTATAACTCATTCTTTTTGGATTTTGAGACATCGGCTTTAACCTGAACTACTGTAAAAACATGTACAAATGACCCAAAACAAAGTTTTTTATTTATTTATTTATGACCTGCAGCTAATTTTTTTTTTTGTTTGCAACAAATGATAACTGCTACCGCTTGCCGAGGTTAGTTAACATCAATTTACACCACCTGGATTTACACCAAGGCTATGTTAACAATTAATAAATACATTTAAAGTAATCTGTCTTTACATTAACATAAAATACTCAGATCATAACAAATGATTAAATTCAGATTCTGTGAAGTCAAATATTTTACATGTGATATCTGGACACCATTTTTAAAATTTGAGCAAGGTTATACTTTTTCCAGTGTGGCTTCCATTGTTGATATATATATATATATATATATATATATATATATATATATATATATATATATATATATATATATATATATATATATATATATATATATATATTTTTTTTTTTTAATAGTTGTTTATTTGCAAAAAATGACAAGTGACTCCTTAAACTATAATATTTTTAGTTGAACAAAGTGGTTGGGAAATTTGCATCTTAGGTTATTTAGGCATTTAGTTGATCCTCTATTGTTAACTGAATCAATGAATCTGTGAGCGACTTCATTTAACCTGATTACTTCCTCCTGGCTTTACATTGCTGATCCTGTGGTGCCTGGCTTGACGTTTGTGGAACCACTGAAGCCATGATTCATTCCTCCATCTAGATCAAGCCAGGCATTGTGTTTTATCCTGGAATGTTTAAATTCAGCTTTTATGAAACTTGTCTCGTGGCTGAAACAACAGTGGCTTTGTAGACAATACTGTGTACTGTACTTGTGCATGGCTTGGTGTTCAAGTAAAATTTGAATCGCATAACTTTTAGTATTATGCAGCATTAAGACTATGCATCAATCAGATGGTGAAAAAAGAGCCAAGTTCTAAGATTGAGAAAAAATTACACAATTAAGTTAATCATTTTACAGAAAAGAAAATATATAGAATACCTGCTGACGGGTCCCTTTAAAGATTGCCCCCTAACATTTGCGATTTGCTTAGACAATTTTCAGGCTGGAAGTAACTTGCAGGGTTAATGACTCTGACACTGCAGATGGATGATACTGAGATGTCAAAGGAACCGAGATGTACTGCCTGGTGTCAAATTTACCATCTGGCCCTTTGAGATAGAGCATCTGGGTCTGAGTGGGATGGTTTCTGAACTTGCTAGGGAAGTAACTACCCTTCCAAGTGCTACAGAATCTCACTCAGCTTTTTTTCCAAAAGCTTTCAATTTTTAATTCCTTGTGTCATGAATTTTGGATAGAACATTACAGAAAATATTTGCAAGGTAAAAGTCTAAAGATTGTGGATCGATGCAGGTTGCAGGAGCCTGCTGACATCCTCACACCTTCATGTTGTAGATTTTGACCAGAAGACATAACCCTTTCACTTAAAAATACTGTAGCATAGCCTGTCAAGAGACACTTCGTACCTCAAGATGATTTCTGCCGTATCCTTCTCCCTCTCTCTTCTTTTTCTTTGCACAAATCCCCGGAAAGCCCTGGCAGGACGTGGATCAGTATTAAAGGGATAAGAGAGGGAGACTGCTGGCATAGGGAGGGGTAGGGCCGTGCAGGGAGGCTGATGCCATGGCTTTTAGCTGCAGGGTTTATTTGGCTATGAATGAGACTCTGTTGTAAGAATCGCAGCAGATAGCTTTGACAACAAAACACAGATTGGATCACTTAAATTAGCTCTAAAGAGATATCAGTCTATCTTTTTAACAGGTATTTAAGCAGTGGGGGTTATAAGCTTATACGAATTAGAACAGCAGGTCTCATGGCTTATAGCGACATCTTAGGTTGGCATGCTTAAAAAAATAAAAGCTAGCTTTGGGGTAATTTAAAATTTTTTTTTTTTATTTACTCTACCAGAATCACACACCTTTTCATGAAGAGAGTACTCTTTCTTTCTAAATCTCTTCAAAAAAAGCTCACTTTCTGCTGCATGTTTAATATTTCTGACATGCATCTACTTTTTTAAAGAGCAAGTCCTGCTCAAAAATTTAGACTTCTGCAAGCTATTCAAACCAAAGAAAAGTTTTTTCTTTTTCTTGCGAGTCCAACGTTGTGAAACTCAGACTGCGTTTTGTCTGTGCTAAGGCTCAACGTTGGGTACAAAGTTGGTGTGAATATCATCGCTTTCAAACTCTGTCTGATCTGTGTTACAGTAGTAGTTGCAAAGCTGCTAATACCCATTAAAGTATACCACTTTGTTACATAACAACCTCCAATGTAAATGTACTTTATATGGATTTTATGTGAAAAACCAAAAATGTGTACAAACAAATTTAGGAAAAGAGGGATTTACATTTGTATTTCTGCTCTGACAACCAAAGATATTAACATTGTTTATAATCATTGTTAGAAGAAACCCTATTGAATAAAAACATAAATACCCATGTCTTACATCAAAATGTGCAGACACAATTTAAAGCATATTTATTGTAACACAGCAGCTCCCAAATACCCGCATATTGTCCACCTTAGAGCCTATTTCTAAACATCTGCACCATTAGTCCCCACAACATGAATCCTTAGTTGTATTTTATTTTTTTAGTAGTTTTAAAATAGTTGAAATCAAGCACAGTAATTGCAGTAGTGCCCACTGAAGCAGCCAACTCCTTTTTTTTTTTTTTTTGTGTGGCTACAAAACATAGTTAAAAATCAATCAGAAAAACTGTTTCGCTATTGCAGGTAGAAATGTCTGTATCAAAAGCCTTTATCCTGCATTTACATTGCATATATATTTTTTTTTTCAAATAAACCTTTTTTTTAATCTACCAAAAGAAAAAGAAACAACGGTTTTGTGAAAAATAAATGCTTGGTGTTTTTCAAATAATCCATATTTCAACCAAATGTTCTGGTTTGAAAATGGAAATAAAAAGAAAACCAAAGCTGTTAAGGCTACAATAGATTACATATCTTACAAAGCTGGATGAAGATTTGAACAACGAACAAATAATCACTTCTGTAGCGTAAAATTTTCTAACTCGCTCAGCTTCACAAAGAACGGAGCTGAATGGCAGCACAGGCTAAACACAGAGACTTTCCTTTAAGGCACATTTCTATAACCCCAGCCTGACAGCATGCTTAATCAAATAAACTGTATTCATCTTGCTACTGCCAACCTGTGGTGTAAAACTAATAGGTTTTACGCTGCGGACCAAAGTAGCAGTTACACATTTATTATGTTTAACAGAAGCTGATGTTAGTCGGGTTAGTTAGTGAGGCTGTGCTGTAGCAGAGAGCCTGGAGAATGGGGGTGGGGAGGGGGACGGCATTAAAATTTGATCTGGGTTTTATCTTCCATATAACAAAATTAAATAAATTGAACACTGTATTTGGTAATACACTAAAGCATGAATGCATGCAGCAATGACAATTATATTTATTTATTCATGTTTTTTTGATAAATTGTGTTTTGTTCATACTGAAAAAAACACTACTAAAAACTTTTTACAGCTAAATGTCCTCCTAGTTTTAGTCTGATTTATTTGCTTCACTTCCTGGTTTCATCATGTTTTTATCTTTACCTTTTTTCTGCTTTTAGTTTCCTTGTTTGATTCATGTAAAGAAATTTGAATTGTCTTTTTACTGAGCTAACCCTGTGCTATATGGATAAACTGCTTTCCTTATTTTCTGTATATCTAGCTGTTTATCTGCAGTAATGATGCTCATTGCTTCCACTTGCATGAAGATGATATTGAATTGACTTGGCTTTTTTTTTTTTTTTGCCTGGATCTCATTTATGTGGTTATTTTTTAGTTTTATCAAACTGTTAGGCTCTTAATTTATTGAAACTAAATCTAAACTACAGCTAAAAGATTTAGAGGAACAAGTATCTCAACTACTAACTTGAACTACCTCTGCATACCAAATCTTCCAAACCCATTTTTAAGACTCAGATTTATTCAGCTAATATTCAGTGATAATGAGGAGGGTTTCTGAGTGTGATTACTGCACTCTATTATGTCTGACAAAAATAATAAATGGTTGAAGTAGAACTATCCATCTAGTGGGTTTATGCCCAATCTGCAGAGCTTAGGTCACCCAATAGTCATTTTCTTTAATCCAGCACAGCTACTTGGTTGCAGTGAATAAGCTGGACTCTATCCCTTCGTTTGTATTAAAATCATTTAACTACTTTCCACTTTTCTTTTAACAGTTGTTAATAGTTGTAGTAGTGCTCATAACTGAGTATCTTTCACTGAAAATCAAAAGCTAGAGCTTTAGAAAGTTTCAGAAGAAACAGACTGCCAAAGTATTCTTTGTTTCTTGGACACTAATATGTATTTTCTATATTAAACATGTGGATGAAAGTTAATGCACATATCAGTGTTAAGGAGCTGGAGTTAAAGTCAAAATATCAGTTCACAAATTAAAAAAAACTCAAGAGGGGAATACTTACGATATCCTGTTTGACGATCGCCAAAATACATCCGAAAGCAAAATTGGAGAGAAGCAAAAGAGAGATGTGTAAGTGTTTAGCCAATAAATCATTTGCTAATAGCTCCACATTATCACTGCTCTACTGCGAGCTCTTAAATATCTCTACTACCTAGTATAGGAGATATAAATAAATAAATTAAACAAGGAAATAAAATTAACAGGAAACCATCCTAAATTTTGTTTTAGTGAAATGCTCATCACAGCTAAAATATGTTCTGGACATAAAAATGATTTTCAAATAAAACGTATTTTTAATTTTCTGAAGAAATAAATAACATAGAAGCTGCAACTTCCTGCCACTGTAGTGAACATTGGCTGTAAGGAGAGAAGAGACATAGGACACTGAGTTTCCTGAACAAAACCTGCTCCGACCCAGGTTAGCTCTTAGGAGAATGTTACTACAGTGATTGAAACAGAGGTTAAGGAAAATCGCTTTTTAAACAGAAAACTCAGTTTCCCTGATTTCAAGTTTGGAAAACTCAAAAGTTGTCAGTAAACTTGCTTCATGAAACTGCCCCCAGATTTTTGCTAAACAAAGTGTTTTTCCTTCACAGTGGCAACACATACTGTAGAGCTGTGGTTCCCAAAGATTTTCTTCTGGGCCCACCTTTGGATTACAATAAAATGTCCACGCCCCCCCCCCCCCCCCCCCCCCCCCCCCCCCACAATAACCCCCGACCCCAAAAAAAACAAAAAAAAAAAGAATCAAATGGGCACACACATCGTTCAACCAGATATAATACATCTATACACATATTTTGTTTTCAAACTCCACTGAAGTTTATTTCACACTTCAAACTACACCATCTTTACAGTGGAACACTTTTGTGTAACTGTATTTTTTTCATAGTTCTATACTGTAGATTAGAAGAGGATTCTTTGTTGTCTGTGTTATTTTAAACATATTTCTTTTTTTTTATTTGTAACAATATTTAACTTTGCTATAATCTATACATTAAAAAAGCCTCTGTGCAAAATGGAGTGAAAACATTTAACAGCTCCCTGAGAGTTTTTTCTTTGTACTTTAATCCTCCCATCTTTTCAGTGGCTGTAGTGAGCCTGCTTTTTGCTGTAGATCTTCTCAAATCTGGGTTGCAGTGTCACAATTGTCCATTATGCTCAGTCAAGCAAGCGCTGTTTTTTTTTTTTTTTTTTTTTTTTTTCCTTCACTCATACTGCTTCCCGCGCCCCCCCTGCAATGGCATTGCGCCCCCCCTAGGGGGCGCGCCCCACACTTTGGGAACCACTGCTGTAGAGTAAACATGCTAATGTCAAGGTTGGTTTATGCTTAACACAGTCACAGGGTCGGCAATGCATCGTGTGGCCAGATTACATAATTTTACCATCAGCACCCCTGATTTTTTTCCACACCAAGTGCCTAGAAAAAACTAGGTGGATAGTTTAGTGTGAAAAAAACCTGTTGGCCATGGTGACACATTGGCATAACATGAAGCATTCAATAGGTCTGTGAGAAGTGGTTTGTGAATTACTGACAAATAGATAAACCAGTCTAATTTATTTGCATTCTAAAAATCCTAACAAATGTTTGTCATTTTACTTTTGTCTTTGTCTAAAGTGTGAGAAACTTACGCCTGTATTGTTGTCGTCGCTGTTTGGAAGCTGAACATGTTTTCCTTTGGAAACCAGTTAGTGTCCTCTGCAATTTGAGAAGAAAAAAAAAGTGACTATCCAGGTTAAGTGTACAGAAGAAAATAGTTTGTGCATCATATTGGCAAAATATTGGAATAAATGTAGATAAAAAGCACAAAACCAGCACCAGCACCAGCACCTCACAGTGCACCACTCCACAAATGGAGAGAGGGAAAGAGGGGAAGAGACAGCAAAGGAGAGACGGTTAGACGAAGAGTCGGGAAATACAGACCACCACTTGACAACTAACACCAACCCTTCAATCCCCAACAGACTGGAGAAAAAATGCATTTGAAGTGTAAGTTAGTCTTGTGTGGTAAACTGTCTCCTTTGGTAAGACCAATCCAGATCAGAGAGTATAACAACTTGGGGTGCAATGATAAATCCTGCTTATGACGCAATAAAATGCACTATATTACATTTGCTTGATCTGAAGAGATCGGAGCTCAGCAATGATATGACTAAAATTTTGCTTTTGTATTCTCAAAAAACATTCGACAAATGTTTTATAGCATTGTCTCACTCTGATGTAATCAGTCTTAAATGCAACACTCATTGTCCTGGTAAGCTGCGTCAAAAAATATCCATCTGTTGCCTTTTATTTCTTAATCCTTAATGACATTATTAGTGTATTCGGTCTGAAAATAACTTATCGTTCTTAACCTTTGATTTGAAATGAAGAGAGCTTTTGGACCTCAGATTTCTGTATGAGCGTGTTACTCAACCCAAACTGGGCAGTTTATTGGTTGTGTCTTCAAATTGCCTGTGTCTTTTCCGATGTTTTCTTTTCTTTTTTTTTTTTTTCCAAAAAGCACTTAAAATTTCAAAGTGGTTGACCAATGCTACCTCTTTTTTTTATCTCAAAATAATAACTACAGTCATAGAGTCAGGGTGACAAAAAATTGCATTTTCCATACTCATATGCTGGCAGTGTCTAATATATATACATGAGACAATCCTAAAAATGTTTTACGAAAAATATCATCAAGATAGAAACACCAATAATCTAAGGATCTCCCTTATGAGTTTTTCTTGATAGTGAGCATGAGATCAAATGCGATTTATTCTCCAGTCCAACACCAGTGACCCCAGAAACAGGGCCGCACATCAACCCATTTCCCTTTTAGATTTCAGCGCCTCTCGCTTCCTCTGTGTCCTCCACCCTCTCACCTCTCTCCAGCCCAGTCATCCGGTCCACACTCCACATCCGCTCTAGGCGTCGGTGCTGCTTGCCTGCCTCTCGGGACGTACTCTCCAGGTCCAGTGACCCCTGGCTACGTGAAGGAGCACCGCTGCATGAGTCGCAAGCCAGCCCACTGCACTCGGCTTCCCCTCTCCCATCAGCAAGGCTTCGGATATTGTGGGCACTGACTGAGGTCTGCAGTGGTGGTTGGGATAGGTGATGGTGATAATGGGAGTGGTGGTGGGCTGCGTGATGAGAGTGAGATGCTCCAACCATCTGCTGCTGTTGGTTGCTACTGCTGCATCCGCTTGCCCCACTGATTCCACCGCTGCTGGACGAGGTATTTGTTCCAGAGACGGCCGTGTGGTGGTGGTGGTGATTGCCGTGGTGAGTGTGGCTACAGCTGCTGATGCCACGGCTGCTGCTCGAGCGGATATACTGGGTTGGAGATGAGGAGGCGGAGGATGGAGAGGTGGAGGGCTGGATCGGGCCACTTTTAGACCCTACCCCACCACTCCTCGACTTTTCCTTCAGGATGTCCAGTTCTAGGCTCTCTTTGCTGCCCCGGCCGCTGCTCATCAGCATACCGTGCTGGGAGGTGATGGTGTACACACGGGTGCACTCAGTAGACGTCTTCTGGTCCTCCTCTGCTGTGAAGCTATGTTCAAGCGAGAGACAAGTTGGCTTGGGAGGAATAGTGTTTGATGGAAAAGGAGGCTGGATTAATGCCAGCTTTTCCTTCGCAAGGATATGATCTAGTTTATTCGAATGTCCTTTGGCAGAGGAGCAGGGAGGAACGTGAGTCTTATTGCTGAGTCCACTCGGGTCACTCGGCAACTCTGGATCAGGACCCACCAACAAGGTTTCACACTGAAGGTGAGCTATAATATGAAAGAGGGAGATGAAAATAAAAAACATGTGAGAATAAATTAATTGTAAAGCCACTGAAGCTGAAGAGGAAGAAGTAAAGAAATAAAAAGATTAGAATAGCAGAGCAGCTACAGCAACATCATCATCTCCCTGCGGCTGTCAGCAGTTGTACTGACCTACCAGTGAGCACAGCCTGGCATTTCAAAAGAGGATGAGGTGAAGCAGGTGGAGGAAGGATTAAAACCTCAAAGGAAAACACAGCAAAGGATAGAGGGATGGACAAATGGAAGGACGACAGAGACGCTGACCTGATCCGTTTCGGTTTTCAGGGTGTGTGTGGGACAGGTACTCTCCAAATGCTCGTGCTGCTCTGTGGGGATACACAAACAATGACATACACACACAGAGGAATTAATTCATGGTTTGGAAAGGAAGGATGATTGGAAGACAAGACAAAAGGGAAGAGGAGAATGGAGAAAAGGGCAAAGGAACTGTATATTATAATCCTAATTGCCGTCTTTGTAGGCGTGTGCCACCCACAGATTAAGATATGGCAGTTTTATCTTTCTGCTTCAGCCAGTCTTAGTCTGAGACGAAGACAATGAGACAGCAAGAGGACGCAGCATGAAGGAGAGTTTTTACCACATGTAATTTAGCCACATGAACTACATTTGCATTGATGGAGCTACTGCAAAACGGGCAAATGTGTTTAAATCTCTCAATTTCAGCTCCGTCCGCGTGTTAGGAAAAATACCCAAACTTGACAGCAAAGTGAAAAACACTTCCTCAGAGATATGTTGAAAATAAATGGGATAAACTCCATGAACACTCTGTTGCACTTTGATCTTTTACCCTAAATAAAATTTGACTTGCATTATTTTGCATACAAAGTGTAGAATCAGATTTAAAAAAAAACAGATACTCCTTTCACATGGCTGTATTATCCTTTTAAACATTTCAATTTCTTGTTCTGTTAAAATCAAAATTCTTGACTAAATACAAATTTTAAATAAAAATCAACATTAGTCTTAAAATATTGGACTTAAGTATATACTCTTATGTATAGACATACAGAGAGAATATTTCTATTAATGGAAGTCTGCTCTTTCTGACCCTTTTCATCTTTGAGCCTAACTGAAGAAATATGCATGACAAACCTGTTAGACTTGTTACCTGGTTTTTTGTTCAGTAATCATTTTGAATTTACATTGCCATCGATTTAAATCATTAATGTTGCAGCTTCTACAACAAAGGTTAAACAATTACTGTAAGTATGAATGGGGTCAGCCTGGTTCATTAAGTTAAGTGTAGATCAGGAGGTCTGATTTGTTTTACACCCCTTGTCTCACTTTGAAAACCAGGTCTAAAAACTCTGTATTGCCTGTCTCCAAAAACTAAATATATTTTAAATTGTAAAATAGCAGAGGGCATAATACTTGTCCAAGTTCAACCACAATGCATCTCCTTCAGAGAACCTTTTTTTTTTAAAGCATCATTACAACCTGCTATGGTTTAAATCTTTCCTGCAGCGCTTACTGTAAGGCTTTCACAGTCTCTGAGTCATATGTTTAAATGTCTCTGCAGCAGCTCTCCGTATTCAATCACTCAGGTTTCCACTGCTTTCTTTTGAAACTCTTGTGCATGTGATGGTGTTGCCTTATATTATAGTTTCACATGGCGGCTCATGGAGGCCCTAGAGCAATCAATAGCCTTAGGATTGCAACAATTGTATTGTGTGTTGCGTGTGAAGCAGGCTGTTTTATTTCAGATAAGAATAAAAGTGAACATTTTTGTTTAGGAAATCACCCTCAACAAAAGCCGTTTTCCTCTATACCGTCTAGGATTCGGATCATCTTTGCTGATTTCCTTTTAGGTACCCTAAAGGCCAATCTCATGGCTGGAAATGTAGCCTAGTTTCCGTGTCTCTGACACATTGAGAACAAACCTTTACTGTTTGCCTGCATGTTACCTGAATTTTAAAATAATTGATCTCAAAAAGGGTATCTAATTAATATTGTGGTGTTAAGCTGAGATCATCTAATATTTTCACTTAATAACTTTTATATATCCATTTCATATCGCAGTGAATAAAACTGAAAACAGCACAACTAAGCACTTCACTAATGTCTAAGTCTACTTTACCTTCCTAGACTTCATCTAGCAGCATAAAGATTTATCTGTTTTCGGGAAGGGGTATAATCATATTAAATGACATCTTTTAAATCCGAATGCAAGTAGTTCACTCACTTTGCATGAAAATTGCTTTGTCCTATTGGTTTATTATTTTTAACATTTGCATTTCACACTTTCTTTTTGCTCAGTTTGTTAGCAGATAAAGACCCTCATCTATATGCTGGTGAAGATTCTCAGTCATCCAGGTCATATTCATTCCAAAAAAGTTAAAAAACAATCCAGTGGACTTTGTTTCCAAGTTTGAAAGCGAAACTTCTTCAAACGTGGAAACAAAGTCCAGTGGATTTTTCTTTAACTTTTTTGGAACCCTACATCTATACGTACAATATAGGCACAATGCTGTACATGTGTGCAGAGGGTAAGCAAGCCAGCAATAGGCTGAGCCAGTTAGAATCTCCCAGGAGAGTAAAAATAAGGAAAAACAATAAAATACAAAAAAAAAATATTTCGCTAATATTCAAAAGATAGTATTTTTTTTATGTGTGAACAGCCATGAAATCATATACATTTAAAGAGTGTTTACATTGTGAAAAACAAGTCTTTTTTTCAAACATATACACAACATAAAGGAGTAAATAACAAAATTACACAAAATACCAATAATTTGTTCTCACATAAGTCACCTGGGAACACCTTTATAAGAGTTATTACGGAGGCTTTTATTTATCTTTCATTTATTTTTTCTAGACCTATGGTTTTGCCTGTGTGGGAGTCTGTTAAAGGGACTTATTAGATGATGTGCCAAATAAAAAGTATGAGGCAAAATGCCTGTCATCGATAGATTCATACAAAATGGACAATAGAAAAATTCAGCATATGTAAACACTATTGTTTGTTTTTTTTCATGAAAGAGACTGCCATTTGTTTTTATCAGTCTTATAGGCTTATACTGTCTTCTTTCAAAGTCTCAAAATGGATTAATATAAATTCAAAATGACATTAATGCATTTACCGTACAAGAATATAATATAAATCTGGACATTTAAATGTGATAGCACTCATTTAACAGAAATAACTTGAATCTGTAATAATTAAATGTAATTCTATGAAAATCAACAAATTAAGTCAGACATTGCTTCAACAAAATTAATTTAAGAACTAAGCTCATGTTACAGGATCAGTAAAAATGACTGTGAACATAGAAAAGACTATAATGTGACCAAAGGGACATGTTAAATCAAGGTACATCTACTGATTAGCATCCAAGGTGTCAACAATCTCCTAATCAGTCAGTGGGCCTTTATATAGGGCTACAGGTAGTCACTGTTCTGTTTGGTGACATGTTATTTACCACACGCAACATGGGTCAGAGGAAGCAAAGGAAAGAGTTTTGTCATATTAAAAAAGGTTATAGACCAGCATGTTAAAGAGAAAGGCTCTGAGACCATTTCCAAGCAGCTTGATGTTGATGTGACTACAGTTGCACATATTATTCAGAAACATGAGACTGTAGCCAATGTACCTGAATTTGGCTGCAGGAGGAACATTTATGAAAAATAAAAGAGAGGGATAAAAATAAATGATAACAAAAGAGCTCAGAAAAATACTCTAAAGAGATTAAAGATGTACTTCAGTCTAAAGGAACATCAGTGTCATATCACTGCATCAGTCGGTTCAGCCAAAATTGATTTAATTGATTTAAATTATTTCCCATTGTGGGATATAAATCATATAAAAGCCAGACAGGAATTTTCTAAAATACATGTTGACAAGCCCCAAAGCTTACAGGAGGGCTTCCTATGGACAAATGAGACAAAAGGCACATTGTCTCTATCTTTACAGATGGAATAAAGATCTTAGCAAGAAAAGAACAGTGTCCCTACTGCGAAACACTGAGGAGGCTCTGTTATGTTCCAGAGCTGATTTGCTTAATTTGGTAAAAGAAGTCTTGTACCTCTGCAAGGTACAATGAAATCTTAAGACTATCATGGAATCCAAGAGAGAAAAGTCATGCTCAGTGTCAGAAAGCTTGGTCTCAGGCGCAGGTCATGGGTCTTGCAACAGGATAATGACCCAAAGAACACAGCTAAAAAAAAAACACTAGAGTTTGGCTAGGAGGAAACCCTTGGACTATTCTGAAGTGGCTTTCTGTGAGCCTTGACCTTAATCCTATTGAGGGTCTTTATAACGAGCTGAAACATGCAGTTTGGAGGCACCATTCAAACCTGAGTCAACTGAAGCAATTTGCTCATGGGGGCCAAAGCAACTGCTTAGAGGAGCAGAGGTCTTATTGACAGTTACAGGGATCATTTGATTGCATTGATTGCCTTAAAAGGTTGTGCAACAACTTATGTGTTTCATGAGTTCAAAACCATTCTGTTTTATGACCCAAAATTTTAATATTTAAGTCAATTCTGACATTAGGGTTGTAAAAAAAAAAGTCAGATGGCAAATTCTAATTATTTATCAAACACTTCCTGTGATGTTCATCCAATCTCATGTAATAAAACCAATACTCCCATGATGTGGTTTGTGCAATCACACATTTAGTTATCGATACAATGACTGCTATTCCAATCATGTTCAGCTGAGCTTGATTTTTGCAGTTCAATCAGATGTAATTGAGGGAGAATCGCCAAGAGTTAGGTACTCGTACGCCGCATTGCAATTTTCCCACTAAATTTAAGGTGGCTTTAGTCACTTTTTGGGTGACTACAGGCTAAAAACTAAGGGTTTATATAGTGCCTTTTCAAGTCAGGGGGCTCCAAAGTGCTTTACACTACATTCAAACTGTAATGTTACAAGCTACATTCTAGCCACAGCTGCCCTGGGACACACTGGCAGAGGCAAGGCTGCTGTATACAGGCAGCTTAATCCT